AATTAGAGAAAGTGTATTAACAATACACCTTTTAATTGAGTTTTGAGGGTGAAATAGGACAGAATTGTGTACCACTTAAAATTGTAGGATTTGGTAACCAACTGGGTATATGAGGTGAGGAAAAATGTGTGTGGGAGTGATTTTTAGGACTTTGCCTTAAGTATTACATAGATGATACAGCCATTAATCCTAAATAGCATCCATGTTTTAGAAATAGAGCACAATCTCCTATGGATAATGATAAAAATTTTGGACTGTTGGCTTTTTTTTTTTTTTACTAACTCTAAAAAGAGTTCTATTAACATAATCACTGCAGATAGGCTACAACATACATAGGTCAAAATGTCTGTCCATCATTATGTTCTACTCTATTCTGCCAGAGGATACACTTAATTGTCAGGAGGAAAGCTTAGGAAACAGCTAAGCTGGTGTTTCTAAAATGTGACCACTTCAAGTCAAATGGATATTCTGGGTAGATGGAGAGTCTTCATTCTATGACTTGGGTACCACCCAGCACTGAGAATCCCAACTCTGGTTTTATCAGTAACACATATAATAATCATCTTGTTTCAACTTTTATTAATTTTCATTTCATCAAATGAGTTTTTCTTGACCTTGAACCCAGATTCTAGGGTCACCAACAATAATCCCTCATATCTTGGGATATTTTTGTTGTTTGACAGAGGACTCTACGGAAGAAGAGTGGAAATAGTTCAAAATGAGAAAGTATTTCCTAAAATAGCACTCAATTTAATGTACTCTTCAGAACAGCCTGCCAGTAATGCACTGTTATTTCAAGTGGCTGGAAACAAACTAAATAGCCCATAGTATGGAAATGATTAATTATAATAAGCCACCAAAAGAATAGTATGCAACCCCTAAAAAACAAGTTTACAGGCCAGGCGCAGTGGCTCACACCTGTAATCCTAGCACTGTGGGAGGCCAAGGTGGACGGATCGCTCAAAGTCAGGAGTTTGAAACCAGCCTGAGAAGAGCGAAACCCCATTTCTACTAAAAATACAAGGAAATTAGCTGGACAACTAAAAATATATAGAAAAAATTAGCCAGCCATATTGGTGCATGCCTGTAGTCTCAGCTACTTGGGAGGCTGAGGCAGGACTACTTGAGCTCAGGAGTTTGAGGTTGCTGTGAGCTAGGCTGATGCCACGACACTCTAGCCTAGGCAACAGAGTGAGTTGAGACTCTGTCTCAAAAAATAAATAAATAAATAAGTTTACAATGATATGGAATCTATTTTTGTTAGAGAATAAAGCAAGGCACAAAATGGTATATATACCATGATTAATAATGTGATTTTAAAAAATTTAAAGCTACTTTTAAGATGAGAGAGTGTATATAAACCAAAGTTTGCAGTCTTATTTGCAAAAATAACAGAAAATAGCAACTGTTGGTGAGGATGTATAGAAATTGGAACTTTTGTGCACTGTTGGTAGGATTATAAAATGGTGCAACTGCTACAGAAAACTGGCTGTTCCTTAAAAAATTAAAAATAGAACTACCATATGATCCAGCAATCCCACTTCTAGATTATATCAAGAAAACATGAAAATGGAGTCTCAAAAAGATATCTGCACACCCATGTTCATAGCAGCACTATTCACAATAGCCAAAAGGTAGAAGTAACTCAAATATCCATCAGTGGATGAACAGATACATACAATGGAATACTGTGCAGACTTAAGAAGGAAAGAGATCTTGACATGTCATAACATGGATAAGACTTAAAGATATTATGCTAAGTGAAAGAAGCCAGTTATGAGAGAACAAATATTATACAATTCCACTTAGGTATCTAAAGTAGTCAGATTTATAGATCTTAGAAGGTAGAATGGTGGTTAGCAGGGACTGGGGTAGGGGGCAAAGGGGAGTTGTTAAAATGGTATAGAGTTTCAGTCACGCAAGATGAAAAAGTTCTAGGGCTCTGTTTCACAACAATGTGAATATATTTAATACTACTGAACTGTACACATTTAAAATGGTTAAAATGGCAAATTTTATGTTTTTACTACAATAAAAATATATTAAATAAAAATATATAAAGAAATCCAAATCAGGCCGGCCCCGGTGGCTCACACCTGTAATCCTAGCACTCTGGGAGGCCGAGGCAGGCGGATTGCTCAAGGTCAGGAGTTCGAAACCAGCCTGAGTGAGACCCAGTCTCTACTAAAAATATAAAGAAATTAATTGACCAACTAAAAATATATATACAAAAAATTACTCGGGCATGGTGGCGCATGCCTGTAGTCCCAGCTACTCGGGAGGCTGAGGCAGGAGGATCACTTGAGCTCAGGAGATTGAGGTTGCTGTGAGCAAGGCTGATGCCACAGCACTCACTCTAGCCTGGGCAACAAAGTGAGACTCTGTCTCGAAGAAAAAAAAAAAAAGAAATCCAAATCAATTATATGCTGATTAGAGAGGGAGAAAAGAAGTGAAAGGGGAGCAGATACCTTCCTTTCGTGCAGCTGGGTGCGTTTTCATTTCTGGTGCATTCCACACATGCTGGTTCCACGAAGAGAGAACAAAGACTTAAAACCTTGGACAAGAGGACCTAAGCTTTCTAAAATCCAAAGCAAACACTAAAACCCACCAGAAAAGCCTAGGAGTTGGAGTTTTCCAATTAGAATCTCACAAGCCACATTCTCAGAAAAGAATCTTGCTCACAGGTGGACACTCCAGATCAACAAGAATAAACTAGGTTGTGCCAGTTTGGGTTCTTTATTGCAAATAACTGAAAAGGACACTGGCAACTTACATAAAATGAAAAAAAAAAATCAGTGGAAACAGGAACAATACTGGTAATGAAAGAAAACTACAAAGAAATCATGTTTAATATCTTTATTGAGTTAAGATCTTGCATTCATATCATAAAAACACATTATTAAAAAGAAAATATCAGAGAACAAGAAAGGGGAAGAAAAAAGATGACATAAATCCAATGAAAGGATTAAGAGGTAAATTTTAAAAATCTCCCAGCAAGAACAAAAAGTCAAAGAGGTAGACAATACAAAAAAAAAAGATGAAAATGTTAGAAAAATCAATGTAAGAAATCCAATGTCCAAATTAACAGGTACTCAAGAGAAAGAGAATAAGGAAAAAAGGAGAAAATTTTTAAGAAAAACAATATAAGATACAATCAATAATACAATTTCTTAGATTAAATGGCACACTGAGTACTCAGCACAATGAATAATAAAAAATATCATATATTTTTTGGAAATTCACCAAATAGTTTTAGTATATGCGTATGGATAAGAGATCTTAAAAATCTGCATCAAAGAAATTGACAAAAACATATAAAAGATCAAGGAAAATGGCATTAGACATCTCAACTACAGCACTGGAAACCAGAGGATAATGAAGCAATTATCACCCAAATTCTTTCCAACCTAGAATTCTACACCCAGAGACTGCCATTCAACTCTAAGACCAGAATAAAGGCATTTTCATACCCTCATAATCTGAGGGACAGAAAACTGCTGGATTTTTGTTTTAAGCCTTCCAATACTTTTTAACTATGACTTCACTTTATTTTGAACTGTACAGTTTATAAACATTTTCAATTTTGGTGTCCAGGCAGATTTTCTATCCTCTATAATCATGACTAGGATACATCCCTGGTTACTATATACTTCCCCCAATAAAATATGAGATCATGATATTAAAAAAACCCACAAAAATAATAATCTTTATTTTTATATAATAATGGACTTAAGAAATGCTTTAGAAACTGTCACAGATACCCTGTATGACAGATATTATTATCCCTTATGTAAAGATGAGAAAACTAAGGCTCAAAGAGATAAGTAGTTTCCCAAAGGTGTCATGGCCAATATAAGGTAGTGCTAAAACTCACAAGTTAGGTCTAAGTACCATGTTCACGATGCTAGGTGAGAAGTCTGTGGATATTCTACTCATGGCTTTATGTTCCAACTTCTCATTCTCCTTTGGGCACAAGGGAGAAGGGAACTTTTTCTTTGAGGCCATGGAAAGCACTCTGTTATCCCTTTCCTTCCCCCTAATGACAACTCAACTATTTCATCTCAAGCACCTCAGCATTTAGCTCCTTTGCCTTCTCTAGGCCATCCTTAAAGAACTGTAGTACAGGTCCCAAAACACATACTGACTAGGTACTTAGAGCTATGGCAAAAGGCAAATCCTAACATAATCATTAGAAAGAAGTTTCTCATTTTTTTCTTAAGAAATATGAGAGTATGAAGGTAGGTAGGTAAGTACATAAATGTGACCTCATCTTTTCACATGCTATACACAGCATATAGCTACATATAGTACCTATAGTTACATTATATGTGTGTGTGTGTGTGTGTGCGTGTGTGTGTGTGTGTGTGTGTGTGTGTGTATAGAGAGAGTGCATACGAGGGCTGTCTGGAAAGTATCCAGCCACACAACTATGCTCATTATATTAACAATGGCTGGATACTTGCCGGACAGCCCTCATATATACCTACTATATGCTCCTATATGCTATACATAGATGTCCACAGTGATCTCTCAGGCTCATTTTCATAAAAAATGGAACTCTGGTCTATAATTAACTATTAGCAGTTATTTATATCATAGAGGGATAAAGATTCAAAAATAATTACCCCTTCCACCCTGCCCCCAAAATATATTAATCAAAAAATATGTCTCAAAATTTAGAACACAATACACACATACACACACACACACACACAGCTTCCCTTCTTACTCCCTTTTTCAAAGCAAAGTCAGAGACAGGAAGACTACAGACACACAAGCACTCACATTCACACACCACACAACCACTCACATGCACGAACACAGCCCATGACCTTGGACTCACATTCCTACTCAACTTCATCTGCTGTTAGTCTTGTGGTCCTGAACAGGCACTGGGTGAAGAGGTCACAGCCTTCACTGAGAAAACGCAACTGCACTCTAAGTGACTATGTGTTTTGAGCAACAAAAAGAAAGAGGGTGATAACAATCTAGCCACTTACTCCACAGTATCGGTCGCCATTAAATATCTGAGGTGGCAGAGGGTTGCCCTGAGCAGGCTTTTTTTCTGGGGGGACGTTTTTGTACATCCATTGCCTCTGTTCTTCTGACATTGTGATATCCACCTCCTCAAACTCTATCTTGTTGGCTTCCAGAAATCTAACCACATCCTGCTGCTTCTTCTTTATCTAAAGAGAGAAGACAAACAAATCAGGAGAAATGTTCATCTGAAACAGTATGTGTTTATTTCTGAATCAAACTAGACTTGATTTCTCATTGTCAGAGGTCACTGATACAAAAAGAAGAGGTGATTTATGAAGGTGTCCCGCACTGTCCCCTCACTGGACATTGGCAAAGGACTAAACCTAAGCCGGTCCTAACACAGTGATTTCTTCACCTGGTCTCCCCAGAACCTCGAGGCACAATTCAGACAGCCTGGAAGGAATAGATGATGGGGTGAGAGATTCACTTAGCTCCCAGTGGGCCACAGTCACTCCCCACCCCACCCTCACCCTCACAAGAAGTTGACATTTACAGTCATGAAAGCTCCCTCTGCCCAAAACCACCTGAAAACCACGTATAGTCTATCTGAGATGTCGACATTTCATTGATTCATGAGAGCAGCAACATTTTCATTCCCCTTGGCAGCCTCTTTCAGCTATTCCACAGCTGTAGCCACTATCATGAAAGCATCCTTTCATCAATTCACAAGAGAAAAACGTTCTCCACTCCTAAGGTGAGAGGAAACGATGAGTGCCATCTTACTTTAAACTCTGCTTCTTAACCCTTTTCATTCCTCTGATCTTTCACGTTTCCTTCTTCAGTCACTAGGGGTCAGTTGTGCTCTTGAGCTGCAGACACATCTGCAGGTTTTCAAAATGTTACTAACGTCTTAATTTAAGGGAATATATTAACTAATGTAGATGAGATGACAATACAGTAGTCCTCCCTTATCCATGAGGGACATGTTCCAAGACCCCCCGTGGATGCCTGAAACCATGGATAGGACCGAACTCTAAATAGACTGTTTTTTAAATCTGATAACCAAGATGGCTACTAAGTGACAGGCAGGTGGCATAAACAGAGTGGGTAACACTGGACAAAGGGATGATTTCCATTCTGGACAGGACAGAGTGGGACGGCGCAAGATTTCATCACGCTACTCAGAATGGTGGTCGATTTAAAACTTACGAAATGTTTATTTCTGGAATTTTCCACTTAATATTTTCGGACCCGGGGTTGACCTTGAGTAACTGAAACCACTGAAAGCAATCAGTGGTGAAGTAATTTTATAATGACCAGAGAAAAGAATCATTTTGAGAGGTCAATCAGCCAGTTATACCTCTCTGGCTTCTCATAAAAAATGAGATGCCTAAAGAACAAACTCTGCATACTGATTACCTCCACCAATGCCCTCCTGCCAACACCCCCCAGAAAGCCTCGATGACATGTGTCTCTGAGGTTGGTAATTTGTTATAAGCTATAAGCAAAAAGATTCTGGTCACTGGATTGAGGTCTCTGAATGACTAACAAGATGGTGTGGTTAGTACAGACAGAAATAAAAAGCTAGCAAAATAGGATATCTTTAAGCTCCATAATAGTCTAAGATGACAGAATTACTATCTGATTATCCATGGAAATTGACAGTGGCATTATCTCAATTTCTTGAACTAAACCATTTCTCATTTCTGAAAAAGTTAACTTTTTATGCCTTACTGATAAACAATTCCTGAAATCTAGCTATATTATTTTGAAACTTTGCCTTGCAAAAAAAGCATCATCTATCCTACTTAATTTCCCCTTAAGACCTTGGAAGACGGATTTTATTGTTTCCCTGAATTTTGTGAGGGACACAAACGTTTAGAACACAGCCACATCTTTAACTGTATCTCTCATACTACTCTAGGTCAAAGCCCTGTGAATGAAACCCAGGTAACAAAGGAAGAGACATTTTTCAGGCTCCTGACAGCCCCGTGCTAAACTGCTCTCAACAAGGCCACACCAATTTACACTCCCATTAGTAGTATCTGAAAGTGCCCATGTCTCAGCACCCCTCCCTCCTTATGGCCTATATTTGAAAATTGTATATGAAAATTAACCATGTAAATTAATCACATTTAATCAGTAAAATGTGAGTGATAATATTTCTATTTTAAGTGAGGGAAGCAGTGGGAACATGACCAGGTTTGTGTTTCAAAGATATCATTTTAATACTATGCAGCGTGAAAGAAAAAATGAGAAGGGTTGTATGTACTACTGACACTGTTACGAAAAGATCTCCTAAATTCCAAGACATATTAGATTTAAAAACAAAACAAACAAGCAAAAAACAAGGAGCAGAACTGTGTGTAGACTAGGACCACTTTTTTAGAAAAAAATGGAGAAAATAGGAACACATGTATATTTACCTGTATTTATATTGTTCTTTAAAAACTCTTGAAGGTTACATAAAAAAAAAAACAAGAAAAGTGATTATCCAGGGGCTGAGGGAATAGGAGCTGGGTAAGGAGACAAAGTGAGACAAGAGTTTTACTTAAAATTTTTTGACATTATAAGTGTGTTCATATTCAGAAGATTAAATATAATAGAAGAAATACATTTGGAGAGAGAGAGAGAGAGACAAGAGACAGGAGCAGTACCTGCCACAGAGACGTGATGCTTTATATAAATCAAGTTTTCCCAACGTGACATGAAGCAGAACTCAAACCACTGTTAGTCATTGGCCTCCAGGTTTCCTTACACTCAGAAGAAAGGGCAGATGATTACAAAGAAGAAATGAAAAGACCAAATAGCTAAAACCACAGACCATTAGGTGATACTAGAGCAAATCACCCAAATAAACAAGGTGGGAGAAATTAATCCAGAGAAGGAAGTTTTCAAGTGGATGTCAGTGCTATTAGCTTCAGGAAGGAAGATGAGTCACACCACCATGGGCTGTTTGTGGGATTTGCAGAGGTGAACGGAGCCTGGAACTGTGGGAGCCTGGGCTCGGTGGCAGGCGCACAGGCAGTTCCGGAAGCAGGGACCTGGGAGAACACGAGGCCTGCTGGGTGGGGCCCAGGTAACAGAGAGGCAACAGGAAGCTGTCAAGGGCACTTCATGTGCTGGGCATGATCCCAGAGTCTAAATAACAATAACATACACAATCATTTCCTTCACACAGTGAGCTTTATTCTCCCCATGTTTCAACTTTTCTGAAATGAAATGCGCCTTACAATCAGTATCAAAAGGAATTTGCTAACTAAATGGAAGAGAAGTAGATTATGGCCAAGAGTCACTGCCTTCATCTATGCCTCTTTAACTATGGGTGGAAGCTACCTGTAACACACCTGTTTGTTTTTATTTAAACACACTTAGAAGCAAACAATGGTAGTTATTTACACAGTAACCAATCTCCTGTGCTTTCTTTTTTTTTTTTTTTTTTTTTTTTTTTTTTTTTTTTTTTTTTTTTTTTTTTTTTTTTTTTATTTGAGACAGAGTCTCGCTTTGTTGCCCAGGCTAGAGTGAGTGCCGTGGCGTCAGCCTAGCTCACAGCAACCTCAAACTCCTGGGCTCGAGTGATCCTTCTGCCTCAGCCTCCCGGGTAGCTGGGACTACAGGCATGTGCCACCATGCCCGGCTAATTTTATATATATATATCGGTTGGCCAATTAATTTCTTTCTATTTATAGTAGAGACGGGGTCTCGCTCTTGCTCAGGCTGGTTTCGAACTCCTGACCTTGAGCAATCCGCCCGCCTCGGCCTCCCAAGAGCTAGGATTACAGGCGTGAGCCACAGCGCCCGGCCTTCCTGTGCTTTCTTAATATTGAAGCCTGGTATTACTTAGAAGAGTAACGTGCTCAGCTACAAAACCTTGTTTACTCAAAGGCCTCTACACCTAGAGGTGATCACGTGACACGGGTCTGGCCAATGATGACTTCTGGGCAGGCTCCACTTAAATGAATGAGAAGACAAAGTGCCTTTTCCCCTTCTCCCTTCCCCTTTCTTCCTTGCAGAAATGCAGACATGGTGCCTAGAGATGCAAAAACCACTTCACAAATGTGAAAACAAACACCATATGCTAAGGATGGTCAAGCAGAAAGACAGTAGCCGGGGTCCTTAATGACAGTTTGCAGCTGCCACCCAGACACCTCTCTGTCATAGACAAATAAACCCTTAATAAGCTAAGCCACTCTTTATCCAGTTTTCTATAGCTTGCACCCAAATGTAATGCTATCCGATAAAATTTTTATTTTTTTTTTTTGAGACAGTCTCACTCTGTTGCCCGGGCTAGAGCTCTGTGGTGTCAGCCTAGCTCACAGCAACCTCAAACTTCCGGGCTCAAGCGATCCTCCTGCCTCAGCCTCCCAAGTAGCTGGGACTACAGGCATGCACCACCATGCCCGGCTAATTTTTTCTATATATTTTTAGTTGTCCAATTAATTTCTTTCTATTTTTTTAGTAGAGACGAGGTATTGTTGTTGCTCGGGCTGCTCTCGAACTCCTGAGCTCAAACGATCCATCTGCCTCGGCCTCCCAGAGTGCTAGGATTACAGGCGTGAGCCACCGCACCTGGCCTAAAATTCTTAATGGCTATTTAAAAATGTATTCAGAAATACTCTCTTGTAATGAAGGATTGAAAATAAAAGCTAATACTGCAAGTAGAGCCTGAAAATAAAAGCCATAAGACTTAATAGTTAGTATGAGTGAGTGAATATTTGTCACTAGATAAACAGAGGAAATTTCATTATTTTCTTCATAAAGCAACAATCAAGGTGTTAGACCTAAAAGAGGACAAAAGTTGCATTTCACTTTACCATTCAAACATATGCTATTACACACTATACAAAGCAATTAAAAGGAACACTGAATCTCTTGTGTTAGATTGGCAGGGGGAGGGTAAGGCAAAATATCACCCGTGGGCCAAATCCAGCTCACTGACTATTTTTGCATGGCCTGCTGCCAAAAATGGCCTTTGTATTTTTAAATGGTTGGGGAGAAGAAAATCAAAAGAATAGTATTTCATGGCATGTAAAAGTTATACGAAATACAAATTTCGGTGTACATAAATAAAGTTGCATGGGAACAGAGCAACACTCATTCATTTACATACCGTCTATGGCTGCTTTAGCCCTACAATGGCAGAGCTCAGTAGCTGCAACAGAGACTGCGTGGGCCCTAAAGCCTAAAACTATCTAGCTGCCCTTTG